ATATTGTAGTGGAGAAGACATAATAATAAATTACTATGATATGTACAGCAATGCTAACTCGTCTATGCCAAGACATTTGGAAGACAACTACCTGGGCAATTGACTGGACAAGATTTGTATTTGTGCCCATTCCAAAATAGGTGATCCAATAGAATGCAGAAATTATCAAACAATGTTATTGTCACAGGCCAGTATAGTTTTGCTGAAAATCATTTTAAAGAGATAGGGAACCACCAGAAATTGAAGCCAGGTTCATAAAGGACATGGGACAAGAACTGTCACTGCTGATGTAACATGGATCTTGGCTGAAAGCAGAGACTACCAGAAAGATGTTGACCTGTGTTTTATTGGCTATGCAAAACCACTGGACTGTGTGGATCATAACAAACTATGGATAGCATTGCAGAGAATGAGAACTCCAAAACACGCAATTGTGTTCATGCAGAACCTGTACCTAGAACAAGAGGCAGTCCTTCGAACAGTCCAGGAGATATACTGCATGGTATAAACTCAGGAAAGGTGTGTGGCTGGGTTGGATCCTTTCCCCATATTTATTCAGTCTGAATGTTGAGCATGTAATCTGAGAAGCTGGGCTAAGTGAAGAAGAATACAGCATCAGGATTGGAAGAAGACTCATTAATAGCCTGTGATATGCAGATAACCTGGCTTGGTGAAAACAAAGAGGATTTGATGAAGATCAAAGACTACAGCCTTCAATAGAGATTACACACCAATATGAACAAAACAAAAATCCTCACAACTGAGCTAATAAGAAACATCACAATAAACAAAGAAAAGATTGAGGTTAAGGATTTCATTTTACTTAGATCCACAATCAACGCCTGTGGAAGCAGCAGTCAAGAAATCAAACTATGTTTGATTTTCAGAAAATTGGCTGAAAACACCTCCTTAAAGTGCTTAAAAACAAACATGTTACTTTGAGGACTAAGGTGCACCTGACCCCAACCCATGGTATTTTCAGACACCTCATATTTTGTGAAAATTGGACAATGAATAAGGAAGACCTAAGAAGAATCGATGCATGTGAATTATGGTGCTGGCGAAGAACATTGCAAGTGCCATGGACTGCCAGGAGAACAAACAAGTCTTTCTTGAAAGAAGTATAGCCAGGATGCTCCTTCGTAGTAAGGATGGCGAGACTTTCTCTCAAGTATTTTGGACATGCTATCAGGATAGACCAAGGAGCTCTGGTAGTGTAGTGATTACAAATCGGTCTGCGAACCTTAAGGTCCGCAGTTCGAAACTACCAGCCGCTCCGTGGGAGAAAGATGAGGCTTTCTGCTCCCGTAAAGATTTACAACCTCGGAAACCCTGTACAGGGTCTCTATGGGTCAGAACTGACTCGACGGCACATAACAACAACATCAGGATAGACCAGTCCCTGGAGAAGGACACCATTCTTGATAAAGTAGAGGATTTGTGAAAAAGAGGAAGCCCCTCAGTGAGTTGAATTGACACAATGGCTTCAACAACGACAGTCTGAAACATGGCAGCAATTGTGAAGATGGGCCAGGACCAGGAAGTGTTTTGTTTTGCTCTACTTAGGGTCACTATGACTCAGAGTCGATTGGCTGGAACAAAACAATAACAAATAACACAAGGTAATAAACAATACAATTGAAAGTGATAAAGTTCTATGGGAATAGATATGTGGGGATCAATTGATTGCTCTATGGCTAACTTAAATCCAGTGATTTTTGATGGTGCATTGGTTAAGTGCTAGCTGCTAAAGGAAAGGTTGGTGGGTCAAACCCACCCAGCTGTTATGAAAGATGAAGACCTGATAATGTGATTCCTTAACAATTACAGCCAGTTCTACTTTGTCACATGGGGTGCCATGAGTCCAAATCTATTCAGCAGCCACAATAAATTAAGTCAGTCCAAAGACTAAATTACAAGAAACCATTGAGTACTACACCATCATTGCTTACGAATCGGGCTGCGAACCTGAAGGTCAGCAGTTTGAAACTACCAGCAGCTCCGCAGGAGAAAGATGAGGCTTTCTACTCCCGTAAAGATTTACACCCTCGGAAACCTTGTACAGGGTCGCTATGGGTTGGAACTGACTCGACGGCACTTAACAACAAACACCATCATTAGCTTAATAAAGGAATTCTAAAATACGAAGTTTCTATGTTTCCTTATATGCGTAAGTACGCACGTAAGTACTTACGAAAAATATGAATCTCGTATTTTCGCCTGAGTCTGAGTTCCTTGAGAAGATCAGCAATGGAAAGTTAGATCCAATTTTGGAAAAAGTCCAGATTGTTCAGTCAAAATCAGTAGAAGCTCCCATTGTGGCATTCCCCTTTGTTGTTTTGAAGTGCCATCGAGTCAGTTCTGACCCATAGCGACCCCGTATAGGGTTTCCAAGGTGCAACTGGTGAGCTTGAACCACCGACCTTGCAGTCCAAATGACTTTGCAGTCTGGCGCATTAACCCACAGTGCCACACGCAAAATAAGGTTGTCCTCAGCATATGTAAGAAACAGAAAATTAGCAAGCAGAGACCCTAGAGAATGAGAAAGGAGGCAACTTGATCAAGTGACTGGTAGTTTGCTATGGTTGTAGTATGCTGAGGAACACTGAAGTGGGTTCTGACACACGACAACCCTGTAGTACCAAGTAGAACTACCCTGTCGGATTTCCAAGGCTCTAATCTCTATGGGAGCAGATCTTCAGGCCTTTTCTCCCACAGACTTGCTGGTGACTTTGAACCTTTGACCTTTCAGTTAGGCGTCAAGCATGTAACCTCTGTGCCACCAGTACTCCTTCTCTGAAGAGGGATGTTGTTGTTAAGTGTCGTTGAGTCGGTTCGGACTCATCACAAGCATGTATAGGGTTTCTGAGGAGCAACTGTTGGTTTTGAACTGCTGACCTTGACGTTCATAGTCCAGTGTTTATCTGAAATTCAGCTCTACTTTACAAACGAAGCACATCCAGCTCCTTGTATTTTGCGTCTCTCAAATAGCCCATTGTCTGTTCTTCAGCCTCCTAGAGCTCGGATCCTGTGACTTTTGAACAAGCTGTGCTTTTGAATGATTGTGGTTCCTTGTGTGACTGCTCTGTGTGCTGCTGAAATGAAACTGAAATCTGCTGCACAAGACCTTTTTAAAGCGTTGAAGAGCAAAGATGTCAGCTTGAGGACTAACGTGCACCTGACCCAAACCATGGTATTTTCAATAACCTCGTATGCATACAAAAGCTGGACAGTGAATAAGGAAGACCGTAGAAGAATTGACGCATTTTAGTCATGGTGTTGGAGAAAAATACTGAAAGTGCCATGGGCTGCCAAAAGAACCAACAGATCTGTTTTGGAAGAAGCGCAGCCAGAGTGCTCCTTGGAGGCTAAGATGGCCAAACTTCGTCTCTCATACTTCAGACCTATTTGTCAGGAAAGACCAGACACAAGAGAAGGATATCATGTTTGGTAAGGTCAGAGAAAAACAGGAAGACCCCCAACGAGATGGACTGGCCAAGTGGCAGCATCGATGGACTCAAGCGTGGCAACAGTAGTGAGGTTGGCCCAGGATCAGGCAGTGTTTCGTTCTGCTGTGCATAAGGTTGCTATGAGTCGGTGCCGACTCGATGGCACCCAACAACCACAGCCAGCGTGGTGCTGTAGGATCATGCACTGGACCACAGGTTGACAGTCCAAACTTACCAGCCGCTTCTCAGAAACCCTCTACATGGTTAGCATTAAACAACAACAGCCAGCCCCAGGGTTTCACTCGACAGAACTTGGTTTGAATTCTGGTTTTAGTACTTACTAGCTAAGTGATCTTGAGCAAGTCACTAAAATTCTCAGTTTCCTCATCTGTGAAAAGGGAATAATAATGGTTCCTATGTCATAAAGATATGATAATGATGTGAGATAATGTGAAATACTTGAAAGATGGTAGGGCCTGCCCCCTCATCTTTCCCTTATGGTTCAGCAGTTTTAAGCATCCTTGCTGTCATTTTAGCTCCTCATAGGAGCTTTGAACTGCGAGGTCGGCGGTTCAAATCTACCAGCCGCTCCTTGGGAATCCTATACAGCGTCGCTGTGAGTTGAAACCGACTCAATGGCATTAAACAACAAACAATAAAAGGAGCTTTGTAAGGAGACCTGGTGGCCTCGTGGGAAGGCATTGGACTGCTAACCACAAAGTCAGTGGTGCAAACCCACCAGTGACTCTGCAGGAGGAAGATGAGGTTGTCTGCTCCCGTAAAGATTTACAGTCTCTGAAACCCTATATAGGGTCACTATGGTTGGAATTGACCCGATGGTAGTGGCTTTGGGTTTTGTTGTTTTCTTTCTGGGAGCTTTGTACCATCTAATAGCAATAGCAATAGAGATGAGAAGAAGGAGAAATCAGTAAATGGAAAGACAGCCAGAAAAAGAATGGTGACTTTCCCCTCTCACCTGCTTACACCCCCAAATAGGAAAGGTACCCAGATACTGAACATCCAACATTGAGCAGTACACACCATACAGCTCTGTAAAACTACATCCACACATTTGTGTATTTGAAGATTAGAAGGGAACAAGGGAACTGAAAACATTTTTGTTTGGATGGTAGAGATCTATTGCTGCAATAGATAGTATTCTCGTATTTGTATGCTTGTGGAGGGGGATCCACTGTCATTGACATACATAAATCTCCTTACACTTTTTCCAAAAAATGAACAGCAGGAGGACAGGATGCAGGAGTAATGGGAATTGCACAGTGGGAATAACATGCCCCCATCTCATCTGTCCTTCTGCCCAGCCTTCCATTAACCATCATGATCTACCAGAGGCCCGGAGAGCTTCCTATGTGTGGCGCTTCAATGCCCTTGCATCATTAATATCATCATCTCTACCCTTCTTCTAGGAGTGGACCTTATGAGGGAGGTATGGAAGAAGTTCTGCATGCTTAGCTGCCAGTCTGAACCTTTTAGAGCCAGCAGGGGACAAAAGCAGCAGTCACTGTGTAATATTCTGGACTTTCTCGGCAGGTGAATACTGCTATGCATGAGGCAAAACTTATGGAAGAATGTGACGAGTTGGTAGAGATCATCCAGCAGAGGAAGCAAATGATTGCTGTCAAAATCAAAGAGACAAAGGTAAAGCACAGCGCTTCCATGAGGCCAAGGAAGAGTTGACTTTTCAAATGTCAAAGTTGGACCCTGATGATTCCAGTTTGAACTTTAGATCATGAAAGCAAGAAGAAAGGAAGTTGTAGGAAGTAGGGCAATGAAACAATGTTTGGCCCAGTACTGTGAGTCCAGTAAAATGATGGCAATTCTGGGCTGTTGGAAATGTAACCACATGGCTGGTTTTTTGCACATGTTGCATTAGATGTGCAAAAATTCATTAAGTTTTGTACACTCAAGATTTGGGTGTATATTATAAATCAGTGAAAAAAGCAAAAACATGTAATGGTTGAACTGTGAGCCAGGACTATGGAAGGGCCATGAAGGCCATTAGGTTTAATCTGAAAGCCACTGTATTTTCAAAGGAAAGAGGAAGATTGACACGGCAGGAGGTATTCAGGGTGGATCAGAATGGAAGGATAGCAAAATCCAGGAAGCAATTTATTAGGCTTATGCGATGGTCCTTGAAATGAATTGATGAATTGACCTAAACTAGGATAGTAGAAGCACAAACAGAAAGATAGAACATAACAGGCCTTGTTAGAAAGGAAAAGTTAGGAAATCATCAATGGACAGACACAAAAGACAAAGGTTTCCAGGTTTCTAGCCTGGGAACTGAAGAAACATGATCCAAAGGTCAGGTTTGAGCCTCCATCCATCTGTATGGTTTTGGGCTTTTGGCTTGTTGTGTGCATGATGTGAAAATGTATTTGCATTACAAATCTTATGATGACCAATATTTGATGCCATGCTGGATGGTTCCAGCTAACACGGGAACTGATGTTTTCAAGAACACACGTTTGTGAACACACAGGTATGCCTAAAGAATGCTTAGAGTAATATAGACATAGAACTATAGATACGCCTAAAGAAAAAAGTAGGTACTTTTATTAAATATATATGTGAAAATTTATTCACATTAAAATGTAAATAATGGTGATCTCAGGATGGCAGGGGCTATTTTTATTCTTTTTATTTTCTAAATTTTCTATGATCATGTATTGCTATTATCAGAAAAAAAAATCATGTTATTACTAAAATTGGCGATCCATAACTGAAACTTATATTACTGAGCATGTAGCTTCCTAAATAAGACGGCAATAGGTGAGCGAAAGAGACTTAGGAGGCTAGGTTGAGAAGGTGAGTGCTTTAGTATAGAGGCCAGGGATATTAATAAGCCTTATTTTTAGACTCACTGCAGTAGATCTCCTTCATGTTGTTTTATTGTTTTTAATTAAGCACTATATGTTTTATCTCATCTTTTTTTTTTTTTCTTTACTAATTCCTTTAAGGTTATGAAATTGAGAAAGTTGGCACAGCAGGTTGCTAATTGCCGCCAGTGTCTTGAAAGGTCAACAGTTCTCATCAATCAAGCTGAGCATATCCTGAAAGAAAATGACCAGGCACGGTTTCTACAGACTGCAAAAAATATTGCTGAGAGGCGAGTTCCTTATGTTCTTTTGAAATCTGTGCTTTTATCAAAATGGGCCAGCTTCAAGTCGCTTAGTACCGTGTAGGCATGTATATAGCAGCTGCCACCTAAAGATTTCACCAATTAGATAGTTGTTAAAACCCGGTAGTAGATTAACATCGATTTCTGAAGTCTCTATCTCCATCTCTTTAGTCCACCAGTTCTCCTAATGCACAGCGCAAGTATTTGCTCCATATACTTCCATAGGTTTCTGCTGCTCATTCAGGTCTTGAACTCTCTTTGTTGATATTGGTATAGGGATAGAGAAATTTGGGGTCACATTGATAGATGTGTGCTCTTCCTAAGTCTGCTAGCATTCTCTATTGCTTCCGTGTAGTCATTTCACATAAATCCTGTAGAGTAGTGAGTCTTAGGCTTGTTTTTCCTATTTTTAATCAGGGACCTCTTGAGAATTAATGTATCCTTTTCCTAAGGGGAAAAATGCACATTAGGCATATACACATGAAATTTCACACAATTTCAGGGGACTCGTAGATCCTTGGAGTCCTGGTGTGGCACCCCGCCACAAGATCAGTTTGAACCACAAGGTTGGTGATTCAAACTCACCAGCGCTCCTAGGAAACCGTATACAACAGGGGTGGGGAATGTCTGGCCTTTGGGCCCTATTGTTGTTGTTAAGTGCTGTCAAGTTGGTTCTGACTCATAGCGACCCTGAATAGGGTTTATATGAGGAGCACTTGGTGAGTTTGAACTGCTGACCTTACGATTCAAATGAACTTGGGGTCTAGTGCTTATGTTTATGGCACTCCACCGGGAAGTTTGGGGTCATGATCAGCCTAGTAACATGCTTAGTGCATCTCTTCTACCTCTTAGTTCTGTTATGTAGTGTCTGGGTTCTTAAAAAATTCCAAGCAACCATCCAAGACAATCAATTATTCTCTACTTACTAGGAGCAACAGATGAAGAGAGAGAATCAGGAATAAGACAAGGGTTTATTTTGTTCATTAATAAAACATTATTTAATGTTTTATTGAACCGACTCCACGGCACATAACAACAACAACAACAATGTTTTATTGTGAATTATGTGATAGTTTACATGGTAGAACATTCGTTTTACATTTATCCTATCATATATCATTTCATTGCCATAGTTACAATCCCCTCCATGAATCTCTCAACCAACCTGCCCCCCCCCCACCATTCATCAGCACACAGCCCCTCTCCCTCTCTGGGTCTAGAGTCCCCAGCTGCTCCATTTCTCCACGTCCTGGTCTTTGCCTCCATCTCTGGCATCAATGCTTCTCTGGGTAGGGTACCACTCTCCGCTCTTCCCCTTGATGGTCCCAGGGACCTGCGCTTCTAGACTGCAAAGTTAATCACTCCCCTCCTTACTACAAAAGGTCTACCTTTACATTTCCAACCCTCACAATCAGTCCTGATAACAGTTATTCACTATTGTATCACAAGAGACCTAACCGCATTTCCTTTCATCAGCCCCGCCTAGACAGATTGGATACTACTCACTGAAGATTCTACCTTGCTCCACACCCTCTGGATATAGATTCCCTCTTGAAAGCTTGTAAGCCTTTGTAGCCCCCCCACTTTGGGTATCCAATGTCCAAGTTGCCCATCCCTGTCTACTTTGTGTATGGAGGGGGTGGGAATGATCCTTGATGTAAAGATCCGTTTCCTCTTTTAAGCTACTGCATCCATAGGTGTAGGTCAAGTTCATCAAACTGTACTTTTACTCTTTTTTTCCTCTTCTTTCTTCTTCTACTTGAACTCTGATCATCCAGTCATTGAAGCCAGGTCAAGTGGGTATTAGCTGCAAGTGTGAGTGTTCTTGTTCATATGCCCTCTCTTCTTATCAGCTGGATGCTTCACTCTCCACTCTAGTTCTCTGTGGCTATGTCACTGACTCTGGGTCCCGGAGTCCCCAGGTCATGCCACAATGCTGGCCAACCACCCGGGTTCACAGGAGTCTATTGAATGTTGTAGGGCTTAGCTTGCAGATTCATTGCGGTTTTTCCCTCACTTCCCCTTATCGGTGACAAACGTGGTCACCAATTAGAGCGTGTATTCCCATTGAGTCTTAGTCTTGGAAGGGGGTTTGCTCTGAGGGGACCCGACCACTTGCCTGGATGTCTCCTGGGCGAGCAATTTGCTTGTTCTTGTAGTAATAAGTCGGTCTACCTATATTGTTTTGTATTTTTCCTGTCGGTCTTTCTTTCAAGAAATATCTTCTGTTCTTCTAGCCGTGCCAGGCTGGTCTGCCCCTCCTTTCAAGTGGAAATTTCCCACCTCTGAAGATCTGGATGCTGTTCAGGATTCCACCTATAGACTTATGTGATGCAGAGGCTCTGCAGGAAGCCTCCTTCACTGGGCATGTTGTAGCCCCATTTTAGGTATTCTGGTCAGTTATAGGCAGAAGATGGATTTACAGGCTTTCTATGGTGATGTTTCTGGCTATTCCTTTCTCTCCTCCTCAAGTGACTATTTTATAATATAATGCAAGGGAAACCAAGATTCAAAAGACAGCCAAGCATCTTAACATTATTCCCTCCTTTTCCCCATTCCAACCACGACTCAATCCCGGTATCCCAGAGCCTTGTTGTTCCAAGGTTGTGCATACATCATTCTTTACCTCTGTCCCAATTAGCCCATGCAAACCTGCCTAATTGTTCTCCCATCAGCTTTGTGATTCCATTCCCCTCCTCCTGCTTGTATATTGCCCCCCTCACCAGCACCCAAATTATCCTGTGTCTATTCCCTGCCCTGTGGTCCACCTTCCCCTCCCTCCCCTCACCACACCCCCCACATCCCAGCAACCAGCAAAGAATCCCCCCCTCCCCTTTTAGTATGGGTTCTTTTTCTTAGTCTTTTACAGTAGTGGTCCTATGCACTATTTCTTCTTTTGTGACTGACTAATTTCACTCAACATAATGTCCTCAAGGTTCATCCATGCTATGCAATGGCTTTCAGCTTCCTTGTTATTCTTCAGTGTAGCATAATATTCCATTGTATGTATGTACCACAGCTTGTTTATCCATTCTTCAGTTGATGGGCACTTTGGCTGTCTCCATCTTTTTGCTATTGTAAATAGTGCTGCTATGAACATTGGTGTGCATATATCTACTC